GGCACCTTGCCTACGACGTTCGTTCAGAAATGCTGCTCACTCATCATTGCTATGGTGATCACAATCGCGTGGATCGCACCCTCCACGGTGACACCAGGTTCGGTCGACTGGATATATTCGGTGTTGATGGCCAGCTTGAGCGGCACGATGTGTCCACTCGCCATCTCTGGAGATGCAGTCTTCAAGTATGGTATCGGAACCTATGTCATTGGCATGGGATTAAGTGCCGTCCACTTGAAGCCATGGCTGAATGCGGTGTGGATGTCATGCATACACGTCTGTGCCTGCCTCACTCTGGTTGTCGGGGAGCGCAGCGCTGGTCAGCGTTCCACTGCAGACCCTTTGCAGGAGGCAGCGCAGCTTACCACGGTGCTTATCATCTCCATGATTATCCTGATCGCAGTCGACAGGCTGCTGCTGCAGATGGCGCGGCTAGAGCTCGAGGCGCGATCGTTTCGCAGCGAGCTGGCCGCCGCCCAGTCCGTGCTCCGGAGCGTCTGCGACGTGGTCGTGGAGGTGGACGACGCGCTCATCCTCAGGGAGGACTCGCCAGAGCTGCGCGACATGCTGTTCCTGCACCAACGCCGGTCCCTGCGGCAGGAGGACCTGTGCGGCTTCCTGGCGTCCGCCGAGGACGCCGTGAAGTTCCGCGGGCTGGTGCGGGGCGCCGTGGGCACGGTACCACCTGGAGGCGGGCAAACGAGTTTGGCCTTCCATGTGTGCATGAAGGACAGCGCAGGCATCACGCTGGAGGTGGAGGTGTGCGTGGTGCGGTTCGTGAACCGGGAGGGTCAGCAGGCGTACCTCGTCGGGATCCGCGAGCAGGTCGACTCGGAGCCACCGGGGCCCCGCGGCTCTCGGCCCTCAGGCGGGCGGCGCGCAGGCAGGCATGTGCCGAGAGGAGGCTCCGGCTCGCGCATGCGGGAGCCATTCACGAGCGGCTTGCCGCTGGCCGCGGCAACCGAGGGCGGGGGGGACGGCGCCCCTGGGCTCGTCAGCCCGCGCTCGTCCCGCTCGTCCACGTCCGATGCCAGCTCATCGGCTTCTGACGTGAGCCTCCACGACGCCAGGATGAGCTTCTCGGTGGATCTGCTCAGCGCGAACTGGACGATCGTTAGCGCCACCGACGCGCTCGAGATATGCCTGAGGCTCTCGAAGGAGGACGGAGAGGTCGATTTCTTGCCGCTGGTATGGTGTCCCGACCAAAGGGAGAGGCTCATATGTTTTGTGCAAGAGATGCACTTCCACCGTACGCAGCGAAGTCCAGTCGCCTTCGAGGAGCCCGTGCTCCTCCGCACGGCGCACTTGCGCCGCCTCAATCTGTACCTCAGCGCAGGCCTGGTGCTGGATTGGGACTTCCCGACCCCACAGGCCAGGGAGCTGGTTCGCTTCAGCTTGAGCATCAACGAGACCAGCTGGCTGCACAACCGCCGGAGCCGCACGAGAGGTCAACCCTGCGGGACCCCTCGTGCAATGCGGCCACCTCAGGAGCTCTGCAGCCGCTGACGCCGAACCCCCCACCCCGGCCCACGGGCTCCTGGACCTGCGCTCGACGAGTGCTGGGGTTTGGGGCTGAGCCCGGCCTCGTCGGGACAAGTTGTTGCTTCTCTGCCTGGCTCCTGCCGGCCTCTCCCCTTCCGGGTCCTTCTGGCCATCTTGCCGATGGCCATCTCGTTTTCGCTGCCGCCAGAGTGTACCTTCCTCCTTTCCTCCTCCTCCTCCTCCTCCTCCTCCTCCTCCTCCTCCTCCTCCTCCTCCTCCTCCTCCTCTTCCTCCTCCTGCTGAATCCGCGATGCCGGCACTTGTTCCACCAGACTGCAATCATATAAGATAGGTCAAGTGTCCACTAGGGTCAGGCGCATCGGCCCGCCGGCGACCCCGCGCCAGTTGTGCACGCCGTCCTTGGAGGTTCGAGCTCCGTGAGTGGGGAAGTTGAGCATTCCTACTGTCAATTCGGGGTCAGGCCCTGTTGGAACATCCTACTACAGGTTACAATCAGCGACCTGACCTAAGGAACGATGAATAAGGAACGAAGCCCCAAATGTTTCCAAGGAGTAACGCACAAGGAACGACAAATAATAAATAACGCCTACGGAAAGATGATAACGCAAGCAAGCCTAAGGAACGATCGAGCCCCTTTTGACAAGCAAGTGTTCCTTATCCAATCCGCTCACTGTAGGTGTTCTTGAACGTCTGCCTATGTACAGGGCCGCTGCGCTGCATGGCTTTCCCGATCCGCGGAGGGAGGCCGAATGGTGCCTCTGGGACCATGCAGGCCCGGAGGGAGGGCCCCCTCGGCCCAGAGTGGTGAGCACTCCTGGCTTCCAGCAATCAGAATGTGTATCTCATGGCTGCCGCCTCTGCCGCCGACCCCTGCTGAGCGACGTGTGTTCGAGTCGTTTGCTGTCGGGGTGCCTTTCCGAGCGCGGCAGGAAGGGTTCAGGTGAGACATCCAGGCCTTAGCCTCGCACTCTGGACTCCTGACTCTCTCTTGCACCTCTGTTGGTCGCGGGTATGAAGCTTACTCGATGTTCGTTGGGATTTCGTCGGGGACCCTTCGGTGGCCTCTCGGATGCAGTTTTGAAACCTCTTGGGGGCAGTTCGGAGCCTCGTGGGGTCGCTGTTGGGCCCCTTGGGGGCATCTCGGAGCCTCTTGGGGCCTCTTGGGTGCCTCTTGGGGCCTCCTGGGGGCCTCTTAGGGCGGGACGCTCGGATTTTCGGTTCGTGTTCCTTCTCTTGGGCCACTTTGGGGGCCGTTATGGGGACCTCTTGGGCCGTCTCGAGCGCCTCCTGGGCCGTCTTGGGGCGCTCGAGGGCCGTCTTGAGGCCTCTGGAAGGCCTCTTGGGCAGTCCTGGGGTGGTATTGGGGACCTCGGGCCGTTTGGGAACGTCGGAAAGGAAACAAGGCGAGAACGCCAAAATCGTTTAAACAACGAACGCAAATCAATGATTTGTGCCTCTCAGGGTCCTCTTGGGAGGCATCTTCGAGGCTTCTTGGGGCATCTTGGAGGCCTCCTGGGCCACCTTGAGGCCGCGTAGGGCGTTTACGGGCGATTTGGGAGCGTTTGGGGCCGTCGTGGCCTTCTTCGGGCCTTGCTGGCTTGTTTTGGGGGCTCCCGTCGCTCCGAAACAGTCACACGATAAACCGCGAGAAGCCCCAGAAGAAGATTTCGCGACGTGGGGCTTGGGCTTCTCAACGACCTCTCAGGAGAGAGGACTTAGTTTGAGAGGATGACGGTAAGAGCCTGAGGGCATGCCCACTCCGTTTTCAGAGGCACGGAGGCGGATCTACAGAACCATGATAATTCGATGATCATGGTTCTGACGGATCGCATCGCGTTTCCGAGCTCCAATGGGAAAGCCGCCTGGGGGTATTTCAAGTGGTTTTTTGTTAGAATCGTGGGGGGTGGCAGTGGCTCGGGTTGGCGGTCGGTAGATTGGGCGAGGTGGCAAATATCATCCAGGAGCAGCGATGACCCCATCCCCGAAGGAGAAGAATAAGGTTGAGAAAGGAATCGCGACGGACCATGGGCGGCGGAGCCATCACCATTATTTTGGGCCCTGAGGTGCCGCCTGTGAGGCAGTCCGGTCGGTCTCGCCTGAGACCTCCCTGCAATTGTGGGCTTCGAGGTGCTGCGCGGGAGATTGTCCAGCCTATTTCGCTTCGACATCCTCGCCGCTGTCCTGAGGCGGTCCAGCCCTTTTGGCTTGAGACATCCTCGCAGTTGTGGGTTTCGAGGCACGCGAGAGGTCTATCCAGCTTCTCCTCCCACACTCTCGCAACTCAGGGCCCATGGATGCCCTGACCTGAGCTGGTCCAGCAGGTTCGCTTCACACTTCGTCACAATTCTGGGCTCGGATATGACCTGGCGTGAGATCGTCCAGCCATCTTCGCCCGATGCATCTTCGCTATTCTGGCTTAGTCGATGCTCTGGCCGCACTGTATCCGATCTCTTTCCTCACTTTTCTGGGCTCGCAGCCGCCGTGAACTGTTCGTTTCGTTTGAGATATGCTTGCGCCTCTGGGTTCATGCACTGAGGTCCTCACCTCACGTGGTCCCGGTCATTTTCGCTTGGGAGATCGTCGGAGAGTGGAACCCTCCTTGTTGCCAGTGGAAGATATGTCCATCGTGGCCACTTGTCGAACGGGCGAGGATAGCTTGGCACTACTTGAGGCGAGTTGCCCGCCCTCTGCCGAGGGGATTTTGAGAGGAAGTGATTGCACACGCTAGTCGCCCAGAGGGGTGGGCGGATTTTCCTTGCCGGAGAGGAGGCCCCACGTTGCCCCATCGTGGATATACGATTGCTTCTGCGCCTCGCCTTGCTCTTGCGCCGCAAATTAAGATCACATCGCCTTCAAGGCTGGCGGGCTCAGAAGTCATGGAGTGTCGCGTGGTCACTGATATGCCAGCACCAAACTTGGCCAGGCATTCCATGGGCATTTGCCAGTGGGCTCTGAGAGGCCTGGCCAACTTAGGAGCTTCGATTCCTGGCCGATCTGACTCTTGGATGCCAGTGTTGGTCCGATCCGCCGTGCGCCATTGAGGCGTGTAAGGATCCAAACTTTGGACTTGATGGGTGAACCTCTCGCCTTCGGCGGAAGCCAACGCTAGTAAAACGAGGACACTGCCGCTGGTGGACGCTCGGCGGAATCTGGCGGAGGTGCAGGGGGAGACTTCATGAGAGGTCGACGTTGGTTTTTCGAGAGTTTTCGGAGGTTGCCAGGTGTCGTCCAACTCACTGACGGCGAGGTTCACTGCACATTCTCAGACGGCCCAAAAGTCCCCAAGACCGCCTCCGGCCCTGGGGGGCCTAGAACCTGGCTTCCGCAGGCCACGAGTGCCGTCGTACCAGGCCCGAGTGTTTTTCGGGGTGTTGGATGCCTCGGATCGGCTGGATGCCTGGCTGCCGACGCGCCCCACTCGATGCTCGGTCCAGTAGTGCTGGATGCCTAGGGAGGAGGACGAGGAAGATAATGAAGAGGAGAAGGAGTCACACTGTGGAGGGGCATCATTGGTGGCTCTGGTTGCACTGCAGAGTTGAAGGATCTGCTCTGCACAGTGTGCTCGCTGTGCTCTTCTTCTTGTCGCCGAGCACCTTGTCATATGCGCAAGGAAGTAGCACAGCGTGCGTCGATCACAATGCCTGTGGATAGCTGTGCATTTCACGGTGTCCTCCGACATCGCAGGATATCTTAGCTTCCCCTTCAGTTTCCCCGCTTGGGCCTCACCCGTTGCGCCCTCGACGCGTCAGTGAATTCAGGAACGAGGAGGGCCGCTGCTGTCGCCCGCACCCTCGCGCTGCCGTGGTGCGGCGCCTGCGGCGGCTGGGGCTAGAGGTCCGCGACGATGGCGAACGAGGCGCCCGCCAGCACATGGCTTTTTCTCGGGACCACGGCCAGAAGTACGGTGGCTGCGATACCCGCTGCTCGAGGCGGCTCACGGGCCCAAATGCTTACAGTTCGCGTGCGCGCTGCGCTGATGCTTCTTCTCACCATGCGCTGCCGTGTGACCTGCTGCCTGCTCTCGCCCGCGCTGCAGATTTGGCGAGCCACCGTGAGGCGCACCAGTGCCAGGAGACTTCGTCGCCTCTTAGAGCCAAACATGGCACGAGGCGCCTGCAGCGAGCGCTGCACAAAGTGCCGCCCAGTTCGACCTGAAGAGGCCAACAGCCGAATAATTCGGTTGCAGATCATGGGAGCCTGGTACACCCTCTTCAGTTCCGCCTTCATCGATTCGCACGAGCGGACAAGATGGTAGGGGAGGCTCCCGTGAGATGCTATAGCACGAGGAGCATTGAGCACGTGCTGCCGGAGGTCGCGCGGACTGCCTGGAGCGGCGCCGCCTTCCCCCGGCGGCGCCGCCCACGGGCTCCCCGCGCGGACCTCTTCGAGTGCTCGTGCCCATGCCGTTGCTTGCTCTCCGCGGCAACTTGTCACTGGCTTGCTACGCTGCGCCGTGGAATGTTCGTTGCCTCTCTTGCGCAGGATGTGTCTCACGCATCCACCATCTATTCAAGGCTTTCGTCGGCATGGTGGAGTGGCCCCCTCTGTTGAGCTTGACCTTCTGTTCGATGCGGACGGGTATGAAAAAAAAGTCCCAAAGACCGCCTCAGGCGCCCCCCAGAGGGTGCCAATGGAGCTCCTGAGGGCCCAAAGACGGGACTCGAAGCAGCCCTGAGGCGTCCCAAACGGCCCTGAAACGGACCAAGATAACCCACAGAGCCCCCGACAGACTCCAAGAGCGCCACCAATTGCTTGCAGCGGCGCTCGACACGCCCCAGGCGGCGCCCACGCGGCCCAAAGTTGCTTCCCAGACGTCCGAATAAGCTTCGAAGCGCACTGAGGGCCTGCGTGGCCAAGGAAGGCTTTGAGAGAGCTCCAACACCAGTACAGGTTAAGTCAAGCCAGAGGAGGAGGAGGAGGAGGAGGAGGAGGAGGAGGAGGAGGAGGAGAGGAGGGGAGGAGGGGGAGGAGGAGGAGGAGGGAGGAGCAGGAGCAGGAGCAGGAGCAGGAGCAGGAGCAGGAGCAGGAGCAGGAGCAGGAGCAGGCAGGAGCAGGAGCAGAGCAGAGCAGGAGCAGAGCAGGAGCAGGAGCAGGAGGCAGGAGCAGGAGCAGAGCAGGAGAGCAGGAGCAGCAGGAGCAGGAAGGAGGAGGAAAGGAGGAGGAGGGAGCAGGAGGAGGAAAGGGAGGAGAGGAGGAGGAGGAGGAGGAGGAGGAGAGGAGGAGGAGGAGGAGGAGGAGGAGGAGAGGAGAGGAGAGGAGAGGAGGAGGAGAGGAGAGGAGAGGAGAAGGAGAGGAGAGGAGAGGAGGAGAGAGAGAGGAGAGGAGAGGAGAGGAGAGGGGAGGAGGAGGAGGAGGAGGAGGAGGAGGCGGAGGCGGAGGGGGAGGAGGAGGAGGAGGAGGAGGAGGAGGAGGAGACGGAGGAGGAGGAAGAGGAGGAGGAGGAAGAGGAGAACAAGCAGGAGGAGGAGAAGAACAAGGAGGAGGAGGATGAGGAGGAGGAGGAGGGGGAAAAGACGGAGGAGGAGGAGGAGAAGGAGGAGGAAAAGGAGGTGGAGCGTTCGCACGGACGGGAGCGTTCGTACACATCGAGCGGCACGTGCCAGACCTGTACGTCGTCCACGACGGCACGGCCCACGAGAGCATCATGGTTTTGGTGGCGTGGTGGCCGGCGTCGGGGAAGCACTTCCGGATCGACGTCACGGTGCGCTCCCCGTTTGCGAGGGGGCTGGGCGACGCCAGCGGCAGGCCAGGCATCGCGGCCGCCGCTGGCGAGCACGACATGGTCGCGCGCTAGGGCCCCGCCGTCCTGCCCTTTGCGGTGGAGCAGTTCGGTCGACTCGGCACTGCCGCCAGGCAGACGCTCGCTGTTCTCCACAGGGAAAGCTGCGAGCACGGGCGGCCGCGGCCCGGCTCCAGGCGCGCCGTCGCCCTCAGCCTGCGGGCTCTCCGGGCGGACATCGAGGCGCCCGTCGTGCAGACCGTCGCGCAGACGACCCTGCTGGCGGTCGGGGCCAGCGCGCTGCCCGCGCTCGGCTGGATCGCCGGCGAGCGTGGCCGGGCGGCGCGGCCCGCTGGCGGAGGGCCTCCTGGCGGCAGAGAGGACGGGCGCGGCGGGCCCGGCAGAGGAGGGGGGCGCGTCGTTCGTGGAGGGCGAGGACGTTGAGGGCGCCCGAGTAGTTTTGGCTAGGAGGACGGGGAGCTGGCGCGCAGCCGGTCGTCAAGAGGTGGAGGAGGAGGAGGAGGAGGAGGAGGAGGGAAGGGTAATGGGGGGGAAGAGGAGGCTTGGAAGGGGGAGGAAGACGAGGAGGCATCAGAGGGATGAGATGATACGCGGCGTTCGTCCCGCCGCTTCGCACGCAGGCACCAACGGACGCGCCCCGGTCCCCGACGGTTCGCACCCCAGGGGCCCCACCTAGGGGCGCGACCAGCAGCGGCGCAGAACCGCCCGAAAAACAAACGGGCCCAGCAGGAGCACCCAGGAAGCCCAGAGGGCGCAGGGGGGACCCCTGAGTGGCAACCTTCGGAGGCCCTCAGGTCTCAGCAACTTCCCAAGACTCCCAGGAGAATTCGTCACTCGCCACCTCGGCGGTCACTTTGTCCTCCGACGTCTTGAAAGTCGAGCCCGAGCTTGCCCGCCATGCCACTGGCGAGATCCACGAACTCTCTTTTCAACGGGCTCTCCAGGTAGTTTTCCACCGTCCCGAGCTTCGTCCTGTCGGCAAGATTTTCCATGCAGTTTCTTGGTGCACGCATGCTTTGCGTCTCCGCGCTATCCAATGGGAATAGTATCCGTTTTCTTCGCGTCGCCGTATTCGTCGATATTGCTTTCCTGCTTTTTGTTCATATTCGCGCCCGCATAATGCCCATTATCTTCGATCTTCACCTCGAGGTTCCAGCCGCTGCGTTCCGCCCCCGCCTACATGTCACGCTTGTTGGCGCTCGAGCCTTCGTCGTCGAAATCGCCGCCAATCGGCCCGCGTGGACAGTGGAGTCGCGATGGCGGTCTCCGCGCGCGTAGCCTCTGCCTGGAAGGCAAGAGGAGCGGAGGGGCGCCGTGGCAGCGCGCGGAGTGCGGTCTCTGGTTACGGGCCAGGATGCCTTCCATGCGCCCCAGCATCATTTCGGCGGCGGGCGCGGGGGGGAAATGAGAAGGGGCGGGGCTTCCGAGGTTTCTGAGAAGTTTCTGGACTTCTGAGAGGGCTTCTCAGAAGTTCTGTCTGTATTCGAAATAGGGCAAGGAAACGTCTCAGAAGCCCCCCGGACTTCTAAGAAGTCCCGCGGCCTTCTGAGAAGGCCTTCTCCTTCTCATTTCCCCCCTGGGCTCGTCGCCTATCATTCGTCGAAATTGACCACGCGGCGCTGCGCGGGCTGCCCCGAGAGGCGGAGCTGCCGCGCGCGCGCCGCTCGGCAGTGCGAAGAGGGCGTTCGCGCCGCATCGGCGAGGGCCGGCCGGGAACGGGCCGCCGCAGAGGGGGGACGCGCGCAGGGTGCGGAAAGCTGAAGAAGCACCTCGCGCGCGGTCGCTGCGAGGGAGCGAAATGTGCCACCCATTTCGCAGAGCGCGAGTTCGGTGGCGTGGAGCGCGTGTGCGACAAATGCAAGAGGGCGGAGGGCAGGGAGCACAAGCGGCGCGGGGGGCGGGCGGATCGGGAAGAAGGGTCCGAGGCGCGGCCAGGAGAAGCCGCGCGACTCGCACTCCGAGAAGTCGCGGGAAGACAGGCCCAGGCCAAGAGGGCGCATCGAGTGCGTCTCGCGGGGCGCTGCCGAGAGGGGCGAGAGAAGTCAGAGGGAAGCGAGGCCGTGCATGGCGCGCGGGAAAGAAGAGCTGGAGGGCGTATTCCCAGGGCGGACGCGGGCGGAGAAGGTCGCCGACAAAGATCGCGCGCGCGAAGAATGCGCGAAGGGGGTGGGAACGCGGCATGCGAGATCACGCGTGGCGCGCGGCGAGGAAAAGTCAAATGTCGCATTCTCTAGGCGCGCGTGGAACGACGCTGCCGACAAGAATCGCAAGCGCGACGACTGCGTCAAGGGAGCGAGAACGCAGCGAGGTTATTGGAAGCGCGCGCAGCGCCACACCTGCTTCGAGATGGCAAGATTCAGCGCTCGGTCGTCATGGCGGACGACGCAGAGACCGAACGCGGCGCAGCGTTGTTACGAGCGCGACGCAGACCAGGGGCGCGGACGGAAGCGCGCGGCTGATCGGTCGTTTGATGCCCTTTCGAAAAAGAGCGCGCGAGGCGGAAGGCCGGGCGAGGTCTGTGCGCGAGGCCCCAGGAGGCTGGCGGCGTCAGTCGCGGCGCCGGGCGCGACGAGGGCGCGGCGGGGGCGCGGCGGCGAGCGAGGCCTTTGCAGGGCGAGTGGCCAGGGAGACTTCATGACCAGACGCTCCAGGAGGCTGGCGGCGGCACGCGCGGCGCACGGCGCGGCGGGGGCGCGGCGGGGGGGAGGCGCCGGCGAGGCCGGCGCAGGGCGGGTCGCCCGGCAGAACATGGGCCCAGGACGCTAGGGGGCTGACCGCGCCAGGCGCGGCGGGTGCGCGGCGGGTGCGCGGCGGGGGGGGGCGCAGCCGATGTTTTTGCTGAGCGGGTGGCCCCTGGGAACCTAGGCCCAAGGCGCCAGGTGGCCGGCGGCGGGCGCGGCGGGGGGAGCGCCGCCGAGGTCGTTGCAGGGCGGCTGGCCCCTGCGAACCTAAGCTCAGGACGCCAGGAGGCTGACGGCGTCAGGCGCGGCGGGGAGCGCTGGCGACGTTTTCGCAGGATCGGTGGCCCATGAGAAGCTTGGCCCAGGGCGCCAGGAGGCCCGGCGGCGGGGGCGCGGGGCGGCGGCGCCGGCAAGGTCTTAGCAGGGTGGGTGGCCCCTGAGAACCTACACCCAGGAGACCAGGGGGCTGGCGGCGTCAGGCGCGGCGGGGCGCGCGGCGGCGGGGGCCACCGGCGAGGTTTTTGCAGGGCGGCCCTAGTGACCGTTCAAGCTTTATTTTAAGCTTAAAACGGTTTTAATTTCATAAGCTTTAAACATGCTGCTTTCTTGTTAGTTGCCCATGTTGCGGTTTGCGTGAGTGGTTGTGTCCTCACTCGCATTGAGCGCATGTTTCCCGTCGCCTGCGACGGCGGCGTCAACTGATAGCGATGGCGCCTTCATCGAATTTGCTTGAGCCAATATCGCAATGGGAAGCGGAAAAAAGAAAGGGTGGAACATGTGCAGCGGCAGAATAAGGGCACGAGGAAGAAGAGGAAAAATGAGGAGGAGGAGGAGGAGGAGGAGAAGGAGGAAGAGCAAAATGAGCACGGCAAAGATGGAGGAGGAGGTGGAGGAGGAGGGGGGAAGCGGTGGAGGAGGAGAAGGTGAGGAGGAAGGATTCTGCACCACTCACGATCAACAGTGACACTCTACGACCTGCGCCTGGACCGAGGAAAAAATCTCCCCAGGACCAGAGGGTCAGACCCCCCCCTGTGATACGAAACCGTTTCCCCGGGAACCGTTTCCCCGGAACCGCTTCCCCGGGACCGTTTCGCTGGAGGACCGTTTCCCTGGAGACCTCTTCCCTGGGGACCGCTTCCCCGGAGGAGCGTTTCACCGGGACCGTTTCCCCGGTTCCGTTTCCCCGGGAACGCTTGCCCGGAACCGTTTCCCCCGATCCGTTTCCCCGGAGCCGGTTCCGCAGAACCGTTTCCCCGCAGCCGGTTCCCCTGGACCGTTTCCCCGGTGCACCGTTTCCCTGGAACCGCTTCCCCGGAACCGGGTCGGGCTCGGGTCGGGCGGGCGGGACATTCAAACAGAATGCATCATCGAGTTGGCACGCGAGTACCCTAACGGGCGGGACGGGTCTGGCGACCCGGCGGACCCGAACGGGCGAACCCGAACGGGCGGGACGGGTCGGGTCGGGCGGGCGGACCCTAACGGGCGGGACCGGTCGGGTCGGGCGGGACATCAAAGAATGATGCATCATCGAGTTGGCACGCGAGTGCCTTAACGGGCGGGACGGGTCCGGCGGGCGGGCGGTCCCTAACGGGCGGGACGGGTCGGGCGGGCGGCGGACCCCTAACGGGAAAGGTCGGGTCGGGTCGGGCGGGCGGGACATTAAAGTATGATGTACCATCGAGTTGGCACGCGAGTACCCTAACGGGCGGGACGGTCCGGCGGGCGTACGGACCCTAACGGCGGGACGGGTCGGGTCGGGCGGGCGACCCTAACGGGCGGGTCGGGTCGGGTCGGGCGGGCAGGACATTAAAGTATGATGCACCATCGAGTTGCACGCGAGTACCCTCACGGGCGGACGGGTCCGGCGGCCCGGCGGACCCTAACGGGCGGGACGGGTCCGGCGGGCGGGCGGACCCTAACGGGCGGGCGGGTCGGGTCGGGTTCGGCGGGCGGGACATCAAAGTATGATGCATCATCGAGATGGCACGCGAATACGCTAACGGGCGGGATGGGTCCGGCGAGCGGGCGGACACTAACGGGCGGGGCGGGTCGGGTCGGGTCGGGCGGACCCTAAGGGCGGGACGGGTCGGGTCGGGCGTGCGGGACATAAGAATGATGCACCATCGAGTTGGCACGCGAGTGCCCTAACGGGCGGGACGGGTCGGGTCGGGCGGGCGGACCCTAACGGGCGGGTCGGGCGGGCGGCGGGGGTCGGGTCGGGTCGGGGCGCGGGCGGACCCTAACGGGCGGGTCGGGTCGGGCGGCGGGCGGACCCTAACGGGCGGGTCGGGTCGGGTCGGGCGGGCGGACATTAAAGTATGATGCATCATCGAGTTGGCACGCGAGTACCCTAACGGGCGGGACGGGTCCGGCGGGCGGGCGGACGGGTCGGGTCGGGCGGGCGGACCCTCACGGGCGGGACGGGTCGGGTCGAGCGGGCGGGACATAAAATAATGGTGCATCATCGAGTTGGCACGCGAGTACCCTGACGGGCGGGACGGGCCCGGCGGGCGGCCCCTACGGGCGGGTCGGGTCGGGCGGGCAGGACCTTAAAGTATGGTGCGCCATCGAGTTGGCACGCGAGTACCCTAACGGGCGGGACGGGTCTGGCGGGCGGGCTCACCCTGACGGGCGGCACGGGTCGGGTCGGGCGGGCGGACCCTAACGGGCGGGACCGCTCGGGTCGGGCGGGCAGGACCTTAAAGTATGATGTGCCATCGAGTTGGCACGCGAGTACCCTAACGGGCGGGACGGGTCGGGCGGGCGGACCCTATCGGGCGGGACGGGTCGGGTCGGGTCGGGCAGGACGGGTCGGGTGGGTGGCCCTCGATGATGGATGAGGGAGGAGAGGGGAGGAGGAAGTAGGGAGGGATGAGGGATGTGGGGCGGGGGGACGTAGCGGCAACGAGGGATGGGGGAGGGCGGGAGGGCAGAGAGGGATGGATGAGGAGGAGGAGGAGGAGGAAGAAGAGGAGGAGGAGCAGCAGCAGCAGCAACAGCAGCAGCAGTGTAATGAAAGAGAGTAGCAGGAGGGAATCGCCTCTGTGGAACCCGTCCTGTGGAACCGGTCCTGTGGAACCAGTCCTGTGGAACTGGGCTTGTGGAACCGGTTCTGTGGTACTGGTCCTGCGGAAAGGGTCCTGTGAACAGGTTCCGTGGAACTGGTTCTGCAGAACCGATCCTGTTGAACCGGTCTTTGTTGAACCGGTCCTTGCTGAACTGGTTGTTTGTTGAACTGGTGGTGTCTATTTAACTGGCCGTCTGTTGAATCGGCCCCTGTTGAACCGGTCGTCTGTTGAACCAGTTTTCTTCCCCCCTTGTTTGGGCTAACATGGGGAGGGTAAAGTCCTGCGAATTCTGTACTAATTACACAACGTTCGCTCCCCAAGAAGCCTCCCGCGAGCCCCCTGGAGGGCGCGAAAATTACCCACATCAGATCACTGGGAGAAAATATGAGTTAACCGCGGCCTCGCTGGGTTTTCTCGGCGCTTGCCGTTTTAGGAGATTGTTCCAGATATTGGGGTTCGGCGGCGAGGCGTTGGAAAACGTTGGATATACATTGAACTATCGGATGGAAGCGACGCGGACGCCGTTTTCCGAAGCGCACGCGGGCGCAACACCAGTCCAACAAACAGGTCAAGGGTCGAGCGGCCGTTTCCGACAAGACGCTCTTTTCTGAAGGAGCCTTTTCACGCTTGACAGCACGCTGATTTCAAAGGTGGATTGCGAACCTTTCCTGCAACAGCCCTTGAGGGTTCTGTTCAGGCCCTTGCCCATCCACGCCGCGTAGAAGCGTGGATGGCCAAACAATGACAGGCGTCTGAGCACGCGTCGCGTCAGGTGTCGTTTTGGCAACATCAGCTCATCGCATTCGCCCGTCAAGTTTAGAAAACTACGGTAGTGCCCCCAGCACGCGTCAACCGTCGCATCTGACATATGAATGCCACTGTTGTCGAAGATCACAGCCAGGTCCCGCAATGCTGGCCGCTGCCCCCAGTAGCCGCCCCCCCCCCCATCGGGGCCGGGCTCCCAGAGGCGATGCGGCAGTTCGTCGACCAAAAAACAAAATAGTCCCCACGTTTCCGCGCCTGTTGTCTTATGCCTCTGGTCCGGTGGATCACCGACCATGTTTTCGTGAGGTTAGAAATCCGAGTCAACGACTCACTTGGGAACTCTTTCGCACGTCGTTTATACCAATTGGTAATGATACTGCGGAACGTCAGGATTGCAATGTCAGCGGTTTCGTCTTGCGTACCGTGGCCGCCCCAAGCGCCGCTAAGAACTTGCCAACTTGCAGAGTGAATGAAATACCCAGAGGGTCGCCTCGCTTAATTATTCCGGCAATCGCTTAATTCTTCCGGCTAGCTCAAGAAACGTAAATGTCATATATGCTAGTGCAATTCTTGAGTTGGTGGAAGATACTGTGCATATATACATATATGTGTAAAAGTGAAGAGTGTGTGTATATATATATATAATTTTATTATATATGTATATAGTAACTAATAACGATATATATATATAAATATATATATATATATATATATAAATGTCTGCATCCTCCGCCCCCGTCAAATGTCTCGCGTCGCCTGCGCCGCTCGCCTGCCGAGCCGACGTTGCTCGAGCAACCATGCCAACAGCGTCCTGTTTCAAAGATGCACGCCGCATCGCCGACGCGATGCTGACAGAGGTCGCGGAGCCGCCCATCATCAAGGATATATGTTTTGTTCGTTCGAGAACGGGGTGGGCAGAGGAAAAGGAAAAGGAGGAAGAGGAGGAGGAAGCGAGGAGGAGGATAGGAGGAGGTAGAGGAGGAGGAGGAGGAGGAGGAGGAGGAGGAGGAGGAGGAGGAGGAGGAGAAGGAGGAGGAGGAGGAGGAGGGGGGGGAGGGGGGGGAGGAGGGAGGAGGAGGAGGGAGTGAGGGAGGCGGAGGGAGGCGGAGGGAGGAGGCGGAAGGCGGTGGAGGGGAGAAGAAGGGGGTGCAATCCTCACCCCTCTCTGCCCTGTCGGCCTTCCCTGGGCACGTGACCAGATCGAGGTCGGTTCGAGTCGGTTCGGGGAGGGTATGTTCGCGCGCATCCTGGGGGTCCCTTGGAGCCCAGGATACGCGCGAACGGAGGGATGGTCTCTTTATATAGGGCGCTTCTTCTAAATAGCTTAGGCTTGGCGATATATATAATATATATATATATATATATATATATATATATATATATATATATATATATATAGATCTATAGATAATTAAAAATGCCCCAAGAAGTTCACTCACGACAGCTCGACCAAGGAGAAGCTGCTCCAGGACAACCACACGTTGTTCAGCGCCCTGGCCAGGGTTGATTGGGAGAGTAATGGGGGTGGTGATGACGGCGATGGTGATGATGATGATGCTGCTGATCCTGGTGATGTTGATGATTGATGGTGTTGATGGTGATATCGATGATGGTGATGCTAGTGGTGGTGGTGATGATGTGTTTGGTGCCTGGTGGTGATGCTAGTGACGACGGCTGTGATGAAACTCGCGACGATGATGATGCCGATGATGGTGGTAATGGTTATGATGATGGTGTTGGTGATGACGACGGTGCTGACGGTGGCGACGGTGATGATGCTGCTGATCCTGATGGCCCCCGCCCAGCCCAGGTTGACAACAAAGTGTACTTCGCCAAGAACGTCATGCAGAAGGCGCTGGGCTACGTCGCAGAAGACAGGGACTGGGGGGCCAGCCGCGGGGAGGGAGGGAGGGAGAAGGAGAAGGAGATGGCATGTTGCAGGACGCAGTCGCCGAGAGATCGAGAGAGAGAGAGAGAGAGAGAGAGAGAGAGAGAGAGAGAGAGAGAGAGAGAGAGAGAGA